TACAAGTATTGTAATTACTGAAATTACAAATCGCTTCCCAGATTGTCCTTTACTTGCAGTAATGAAAATTCTAAATCCGGTAGAATAGTCATGCAAAAAAGAAGATTTGTTAGAATTTGGTCATAACGAACTGCAGACATTATTAAATCATTATAGAATACCAAAAACCATTAATAGACAAACCTTTTTACCATTAATAGAATTGGATTCTTGCATAGTTGAATGGTCTGGCTTTAAAAATATAGTTTTTTCTAATTATTTAACATTTTCTTCACAAGAGCTACTATCTGTTCTAATTCGTAATTATTCTGATATTTTCTCCAATATTATTAAACTAGTTCACATTACTAACAGCATTCCTTTTTCAAGTGTAGATTGTGAACGTGGGTTTTCTAAACAGAATACAATTAAAACTTGTTTGCGTAATTCATTAACTACATTTACTCTAGATGCATTTATGCGAATTTCATTAGAGTCAAAAAAAAGTAGTGAAATGAATTGGGATAAAATATATCATGAATGGCATAAGTAAAAGATAGATTTGATGTACAGTAAATTGACAATAATTAAATTTTTGTAATTTGTATCTATCGCTATTTTTTTTTTTAAATATCGATTTTAATATCTGCGTAAATTTGTAATAATTAACAATATCAGGTATATAATAATTGTTATACCTCCGGCGAATTCCGTTTAATAAAAAGATCGTCGGAAAAAAATCAGGAACGTCATGTCATGATTTTGTACACTGATGGCACATGTAATAATATTGTAATAATGTTATAATAATGAAAGTTTAAAATATTAATAAAATTATTAGTTCTGAATTCTAAACTATGAGGCCGATTTGTTCGCATTATATATAATAATTAATATCATGTGATTCACATGATCGATTTTGATTGGTTGATCACAGGTCGCTATAGCGATGGGTTGTCATAAAATTAGAGTATGGAATTGGGCTGGGCTACCCAGATCAAGCCCAACCTGAACTGCAAAAGTTTCAGGTTGAGTCTGTATTTTTAGGCCCGTAATTATATCGGGCTGGGCCCAAGCTAAGCCCATTAAAATATCAGACTGGGTCAGGCTTTATAAAAAAGCTCGCAAAATACAAAAAAGCCTGTCAACTATTAGATAACTTGTTGTAATCTGGGATAGTTAAATTAACCAAGCCATTGTTGCTCCACAAAATCTTGCAATTGATTGGATATTATATTGTATAGTGTAAGTGCTCGTCATCAGATTTGTGTATTTAATTGATAATTTCATGTAAGATTTTTTTTTTATATGACCAGTTTAAAAAAAAAATAAAAGTTAAGTTGTAATAAAAATTATTAACAAAGCAACAAAGAAACTGTTTTTGATAATCAGTGAATTTAAAAGTTAAGTAGGTTTAAATTATTTTTTTCTTCACTATTGCTTATTTTGGGTGACTCGGAGCTAAAGTAATGATGAGCACTTGGTTTAACAGGTCAAATGGTACAATAATAGTAAGCAACGTCAAGCTTCGAGGCTGAAGTAGCAATATAAGAACCTTGCTTGGTAGTAGTTAGATTTCACGGTCATAGTAATCATGCAAGAATCTTGTTTGGTAGTAATTGGGCATCGCAGATATAGTAAAAATGCAAAGACCTTTATAAGATAGGTTTTGGGCTTTGCAGCTGCAACAGCAGGCAAGAATCCATTTTTTTGAATCTGGCGGCATCTTTATTACTTCATGAATTACTAAATAATTGATTCTCTTCGAAGCTACATAAAACTCTTCTCGATAACCCGTTTCTGTATGCTTAGACATTATAGTTTGTTAGAGATTGAGTTAGTGTTTTATAAATGTAGTAATTGAATATATTAAGAGTTAGTTTACTGTATAGCTAGTTCGAATAACATTGTTTTCTTTAGAGATGCAATATTTTAGTTATATGAGGCAGAGCTTGTAACAATAGTGAACATATTCTATATGCTTTAATAAAGCCATTTGTCATCTGATCGGGCAATAATACATTCCTGATTGAATTTCAAATTGAGATTGAAATTTGAGACACCAATATATTATAGTGCTTTACTGTTATGAGTCGTAGTATCATACTTTTGGTATGCAATACTTTAGCAGCATTTATACTTTGACAATTTTGGCTAAATATATCAAGTTGAAATGGTTAATTACTTAAGAACTGCAGTTAAAATAAATAAGCAGATTAAAAATTTGCATTAAAAATGTAGTATTTTATTAGGGTAGGGTGTCTTAGTTAGATATAGCAGAATTATAATGATTTTAATCTTAATTTGACGCAATACAATCCAAATTTTAAAAAAGAATTTATCTTTTCTGCATTTAAGCATATTTCTAGGTTTGTGTGATGATGTCGTGCAGCTTCTAGTTCAAAAACGCTTCTATGTACATATATATGAATTTTAGGTTTTGGGTATATGCGGGTTAAGGGCCAGATCAGGCCTACTCAAAGCTTGCCAAAGCCTGGCCCAGCCCGGTACTAGATTTTCTAAGCAGGTATTTGGGCCGGGTCGGGCTTAAAAATATTTTTGTCAGGTTTATGAAAGCCCGGCCTGACCTGGCCTATTCCAGACCCTATATAAAATAACGCCCATAATTATATTTTAAAATTAGTAATATTTTTATTATATATTAATTATATAATTTGAAAAATCTAAATAGTGCCCTATATACTTTGTACCTTTATAGCAAAACTGAGCTTGCAATAGTAATTAGATTAGATTAAAGAAAGATTTAAGGTTAGGTTTAAAGTTAAAGCAAGATAAAATTATAAAAGAAATATTTTTGCTTATGTTATATAGCAAAGTTATCTAGTTAAAATTTGAGATATTGGAAATTTTATAGTAAAGAGCACAAAGTGTATGAGATACTGTCTAGTCATATCTATATAATTAATACATAATAATTATATTTTATAGTTATATTTTTAATATATATTAAAAATAGAGTTATAACAAACTTAATATATATATTTAAAATTATTTAAATTTTATAGTAATAATATTAAAAGTATTCAGAGTTCAAAATGAAATTAACCCTCTTCGATAATCCTCTGAACAATGCAACAAAAAA